TACGATGCTCAAGTCCTATCAAATCCCTTCTACACCGAGAAACGTCGGGGAAGCCATCACAGAAGAGGTTACGATAGCAGCCCTGAAAGAGACAGCAGATCCAGTGGCGAAAGACGTGGTCATTGCGGTGAAAATAGTGACGAATGCTAACCTCTCTACGTTAACAAGCATCAAAAATAAATATTAACATACCTAGTCTTGCTCATGTTTTCTCTTCAGAAAGGTCTTATCAGCAGATAAAACTTATTGTAACGTTGAGGAAAAGCCTCTTATTCATGATAGGAACGAAAAATTTATTGAGATTTCGACAAAAACTGGGTCTGCATGTATAATAGGTACTACAAACAAGTCCCAATATTAAGCCAATGACCATTATAGCAACAAATTCCACAATCGTATTGTTATAGTTGAGTTTGGGAGAGATTGCCTATAATCAGACACATTCTTTTCCCCTTTCTTACGCTAACGTTTACATGCTCCGGTTAGTTCCACGTTGCTACGCATCACAGAAAAAATCAGGGGCTGTACCTTTAAATTTTTCTTTTCAATCTACAGTATTAGGATTTTTGAAAGCTTACCTTCATAAAGGGGATAAGCAAAATAATTTCCAATTTGTCGCTTTTCTTTTTGCTGAAGCTGCTGCAAAACGTTGCTCGTTGATAGAGCTCGCGAAGTTTCGCCGAAGAAATTAACATCCAAATGAAATCCAAATGATTCCTCGTTCAGAATGTGTGAACTTATACAATAAAAGGATTACTACATCATCATGATTATTTGGACAATGGCAATATAATTATTGCATCTGAATTACAAATAAGCTTTGAAAGGAGTTGGTTTCTTTTCACGATAGGACCTACGACATATAAAGAAAGTGCGATTTTTAAGGTATTCCAAGAATTACCAGCTGCTGTAACAAAAATTGAAATTCATTTGAGTGCTAATACCTTTTTGTTTGAAAGACAACTATCCACTCCTAGCAAAGGACTTAGAATGTAGAAAGCAAATGCAGACTTGCATTTCCACAATATCCAAGTGATAAGGCAGAATTCCTAGAAGATGCCTAGGTTTCGGCAGTTGTGTCGCTCTTTAACGAAAACCTGATTTTAGGAGTCAAAGAAAACTGAAAAAATTGTAAAACAATCTTCATAATGAGACAAAGTACGTAGAAT